GGAGATTGATTTATTTTATTTTTTTTTCAATATATTGTGTGCGGTACATATTATGGAGGAATTCATTGCTACAAGATACAAAACCTGATGTAACTAAGTAACAGTGAAACTGTTTGTTAAAGTCAGTTGTAAAAGATAACCTACTAAAATTAGACGGAGAGCTGAGAAAACTAGTTTTGTTTAATTTTTTTTTTAATTCAAAGGGGAGAGGGGGAAAAAAAAGGGGGGGGGGGGGTTACCTCTAAAGAAATTTATTCCTTTCCAAAAATGTGTACAACCATTGAGGCAGGTTAAAGGGAAATAAGATAAAAACCACAGCTACTCTACCATGATCAAAACGTTACTTATTATATTTTTTAAAATACCTTCATTTTTATNATAGGGTATTTTTTGTATGGGAAGCTGTTTAGTTTGGGTGCTGTTTAGATGGGGTGCTGGTTAGATTCTGAAAAAAATACCTCCGAAACCAATTTTGTTTGGCACCCTGGGTACAGTTTCCTCACTCTATTTTTGTTGAAGACATGACAAGATTCACTTTCAACCCAAGAGTATTGATAAATATTCTATATTGATTTAATCAAAATAATTATCCTCAGGTATTTACAATGTTTACCAGAAAACATAGTTAGAAGTGATCACTTAACTATATATATGTCAGAGGTCTTTAACACCCCCCCCTCTCCAAACCGCACCTTGGGTACATAAACTCGCGCTCAGCGCCCTCTACCATACAAATTCCAAAATACTCTTTTCAGGGCCATCAAAACCAAATAGTTACCCAATTAAATGTCAGACCATAGTTTATAATTTGAATAAAAATGATACCTTTCCACTTTTAATAATTCAGTAATTAGCTGTTTATTTTGATTAGGATAGGAAACACGTCAGCTTTTTAAAGAGTAAAACTTATCTGGCAACAGCTCTAAATATCTGACGTCTTCATTGGTCAACTTTTATACATGCGATCTGTTAAAAATGATAGAAGTTTTTCAATGCCTGGTTTAAGATCTCCTATCCATCCTTATAGCGCTACAACCCTCACCACTTTCTTCTACTCGGACCTAACTAAATGCTTTTATTTTACGTGCTGGGATTCCCAGCTGATGTAGATCTTTTTTCGCATCATCAATCCATCTCAGCTCAATAGGTCTGCCTTTGAGCCGTTTTCCTCTAGAGGGCTTTGGGTGGTGTGCCCTCTTCACTCCTCTGTCATTCGTTCTAAGTGTCCCGCCCAGCGTAGTCATCCTCCCCCACCCCCCCTCATTTCTGCTACTAGTGTGGCATAAATATATATTTGTGGTATAGGTCCTGATATAGCCTATACAATTATTGGTTGGGTCGCATTCTCCTTCCATGTTCATCCAATTGTTGGTCCATATATTTTCCGAGGAACTTTCTCTGCCATGTGTTTGGTCTTTTTTCTTTTTTTTCTTGATGTCCAGAAAATTGTTACCATTTTAAAACATTTGCTTCTGCTCTATATCATTTTTTAAATTTATTAATCCCTCCTTCAGTTCACCAATTGAATAACTGCCTTGATGACATAGTCAGTGATTTACATCAACAAAAAAAAAAATCTTTTAATCACTCAGATGATTATATTTTGAAAAATACTTGTAGACAATCGTAAAGCCTCCCATTCATCAACCTGATCAGAATAAGCTGGACATGCATTGCTCCAGACCAGTGGTCGGCAAATCTTTTAGCGACCTGGGTGCGGCTCAAAATGGTTCTTGACCGGTACTTCAAAAGAAATTTGGCTGTCAAAAAATTTTTGGATTATTTTTGGCTCTTTTGACTAATGAGTTTGCCAACCACTGCTCTGGACGGAAAACATTGCTGTGGAATTTATTTTATTTTCATACCAAAGAAACACGGGGCAAATTTAGTGGCAAAAATATTGATGTTGATTTTGTCAATCTCCATCTCTTGGCAACTTTTAACATTAAAATTTAATTTTTTAAAGTACATTTTACTAATATATTTAATCAATAACAAATGTCGTTTGAGATGTGTCTTTGAGATCTTAACCCATAGATTTGCATCCAGATATTTGAACCCAGAGAAGCATTTGTATTTGACAAAATTTTTAAAAAAAATTTGATGCCAATAGTAATACATATTTGACCGCTTCTTGGCACTCCAAATTAATTCATTGCCATTTAATAAATTTTAATTTCTTTACTTTAAATACGAAATCAAATGTTGGAAGAAAGTCTTGAAAGAATAATTGAATGCATTTATGTTTTTAATTTTAAGTTGTATATTATTATTTTTTAAATTATTATTTGTTTGCTTTCTTTATCGGTAAATGTTATTGAGAGGGACAGTCATGCAAAAACAAGACACATTGATTTGAAATGATTTTTTTTTATAAAAGATTTTACAAACATTTTTCTTTTTAAACCTGGGTGTTTCATGTGGCATTTCTTGGTGAGCAGTAGCTTGGCAAAAGTGGGGGGTGGGGGTTTGAGGACGGGAAGCAGATTGTTCTGGCCTCATCTGCGAAAAGTTGGATCTTTTACTTTTAATATCGGTCAAATTTTTTTATTTTTTTTTAAATATATATATAACATCTTAGAAAGCACTATTTATTTTTCACTTGAATGAGAAAAATTGTTAATTTATTTTTTCTCTAAAGATTTAGCATAATTAAATATAATTTAGGTCTCTTCACTCATTTATTTTGTTTGATTAATAAAAAAATTGGTATTAAAAAAACAAACACTTTTGACTTGGATCGTTTAGGTTATAATTATTCATGGAATTTATTTATTATATTTTTCTTGTGGTAGCAACATCTTGAATTGATACAGCTAGTTGAAAACGAACATAAAACATATGAACATAATTAGAAACTCAATTTAAAAGGATCGAAAATGAAGCGATCGTATTTCCTCAAATTTTTCTAATTTCTTCTGGAAAGCAAAATTAGAAAATTGCGAAATATGGCAGAAAACTGAATTCCGTGAAAATGCCGTGATTAAAACCCACATGTCTAAAAAAAAAAATAGCTGAACTACAAAATTTTAATCATTTTAATGAAAACTCCCAAATATATTTTGCAAGTTCAAAGACACGAAGAATATGCAGAAAAGGTGATTAGATTAGAATCAATGGCAGATATGATGCTACAGGGATGTGATCGATACTGAGAATTTATTTCATTTATAGACTTGCACACAAACGTAAGAAGCAGTTTTTTAAAAAAAAATATTAAGTGAAATTCAAAATCACGTAAATGACAATGAATAATTAATTCTTCATTTTATGCTCTAGCTTGTCTAAATTGTATCCTATTTTAATGATCTCGTTAATAAATACGCAACCCTCTCCTGGAGTCTTATCAAGTGGAAAGTGCCTTTTAAAAACTAGACTGGCTAGGTTTGGAGCTTCGAAAATTAAATTTCTCAACAAGTCAGAAATTATCATCCTGCATATTAGGCCTGCATAACTCTGAATGCAAGGCGGGCAGTAATACTTTATGAAAAATTGTGCGGGCCAAGAGATGATAGGACTGGGGGGGGGGGGGGGGGGGGGGGGGGGGGGGGGGGGGGGAGGCTATTAAGAAAATAATAAAGGATATTTCGTTTCTTCGCGGGGCACCGAGTAGAAGCTGGTGAGCCGCATGCGACCCACAGGCCGTATGTTGTGCAGGCCTGCTGCATATCATTCTGTAGATTTTACATGACTTTTGTTGGGTGGGAAACATCAGATAAACCAATTATAAAAAGGTAAATATGAGACAAATTGTGTTTGCTAAGTGGCACAATAACCAAGACACCGACGTCCAGAATGATGCACGGAAACGTCTCACCTTCGGGCACGGGCTTTAATCTTAATTTTTAAGATGGCAGAAACGTCACGACACATGTTCAAGAGCAAAGCTTTTAAGATGGCAGAAACGTCACGACACATGTTCAAGAGCAAAGCCATTGACCAAAAAAAAAGAGACCATGATGATTGAATTTAAATGACAGGCCGCTGTTATAATACAGATTCTATTAATAAATAGCTCTACAAATGTCAACAATTTGTTTGTTTCAGCATTTCTAATATTAAATAAATACATGCAGGCCTTCTTATCAAGAATTAAATTAGAGGAATTCTATTTTAATATGGAGACGTGGGAAGAGGGTGGAGGTAGGGTTAGTTTGTGGGCCCTAAATGTACACAGCCCCCCTTCCTTTCCTTATTAAGGTTGTGGAATCAAAAAATCTTAATCCACAAACACATATTCTAACTCTCTCCATTTTTTAACTGACACTATTTTTACAATTAACATGTTAAAACTTAGTAATGACAAAAAAATCTAATACGTAATATTGCCATATCACTGTGTTTCTTCGTCTTGTGTGGCATACCATATGTGACATGACTGCCTCTCATACTCATAAGGTTAGCTTATTGTCTGGCAATCTTGTTAGTGTTATACTCTAATTATGGTCATAAAAATAGCGGCGTAGCCGGGATAAGCTTTTGACGCCTCCTGCCTTTATGAACAAAAATAAACCTCAGCGGATGGAGGTAAATGCCACCCAACCCCCTATAAAATAAAACAAAGCGCTGCCCAGGGTGTTGTTTTTAGGAGATGTTCTATAGGAAACAGAATATGTGTTTTAAGCGGTTACAGGTAATTTGATCAAAAGAAATTACGTCTACTGAAATTTGATTAAATCTTTTTTTTAGTTCACACGTTAAAATTTTCCTCAAACTTCTTTTTGAACGCATTATTTTGTTTTACTATATAGCATAGTTAGTTCAAAAAGAAATTTGAAGCAAATTTCAATGTGTGAACAGATAAAAAGATTCGACAAAATTTCCTCTCTATCAATTTTCCGTTGACGGTATAACGTTATAATTTTCCGTTATATTTAATATCTGATTTCAATAGATACACTGTCATCAAATTATTAAACCAAGGCATTTCTAAGCAAAATGTCTTACTTTATTACTTCTCAGAAATATGCAGTAATTTTGTTCATATTTAACATATAAGTCACAAGATAAGATAGTATAACAAAACACATAAGGTTGACAAGACGGCGCAAAACACATCAGTCTGTCACAAGTATTTGTAATATATACACAAGATAAATAGAACTGAGAAAAAGTTAGCAAAATTAAGATGACAAAATACCTGTGTATTGGCTTATGATGAAACTGTAAATTACAGTAATTAATTTACAGTGTAATGAACACAAGCACTATTGTCTACTACAGAGTAAAGGAAAAACTTTTACACACACACATATGGCAAATGTTTATTTGTACAAACTTACTTAAATTTTTCATCTCTGATGACATTATTAACATTCATAATACAAGAAAATAAAAAGTGCTGCATTAGAGGAACATTATCTCATAATTGCTATCCTTTGAAAATTGTTGTATTGTGGCTGCATGAAAAATATGTGGTTTTAGAGTCTAGTTGATTCTGCAGAATATCTTCAAATTGTTTACCATGCCAACCGTCATAGCCTACTCGGAAGTGAAGATAGCAATTGACTGCTCGGAGCTAAAGATATCAGTTATTAGCCGATTCCTAATTGCTGAACATAGAAATAAACAATCGACTCAATTTATTATCTTTGAGACGCATGCAGTACAATGTCAAAGTGTCAATTTACATTGTAAATTCAGACTAATGTAGAGCTAACCAATCCACCTCACATATCAAATACAATTGTGATTTGAACACACAACCATTAGCTACCAGTTACAAACTCATCCTCAATATTTCTAGATGAGTGGTGCATATAAACAAAGAACATCATCAATGTTGTTTGATGTAGCCATCATAAGTGTAGTTCAATGCCAGCTTCATATGTCTTGTTTAATGTCTAAAAAGGTAAAATCTTTAAACTAGTGTGTTAGAAAACAAAGTTAACATGACTTGCATTTAAACCAGAATTTATGCAATCATTCATTACTTGATACATCGATAGAGTAAGGGTGCCACTAGAACACATTATTCAAAAACTAATTTATTTTCATGGAAAATTCTACAATGTTTAATGCCTTAAAATGGCCTTGAAAATAAAACTAAGTATTTCAAAGAACATATGGGAAAGAAAAGATTACTTAACAAAAATGTACTTCAACACACTTGATAATCTCTAAAAATAGTGAGACTACAAAGCTGTTACGGTTTGAAAAATCCTTCCCTCATAATTGTTTGGAGCTTTCACAGCTTTCATTTTAGGCATGCGTCCAGCCGTAAGGCATCACAGATCTTGTCAGGCAACCTCAAACCTTTCTATTAGCCGCATTGATGGTTTCTGCCACTAAGCTCAACATTTTCTCAACACGATTGGGCGTTATATCTACTCCTACAATATCTGACATCTGGGCTGCTATTTCTTTTTTTATCCCCCTTCCTCTGATGGCTGTGTGTTGCTTAAAATGGAGAGAAAAAATAAATAAATCAACTTACAAACAATTGAAGCAAGTGAAAATATGATTACCACCGACAGTGTTACTTCATGTTTGGATTTCATTGAAGGCAAACTGTCACCTAAAAAACCTATTGAAATTGTGTCTCTGCGTCAGTCTTTATTCAAGAATTAAAAAAACCAAAAAAAAAAAAACCCGAGAGACTTTTTTTAATTTAAGTTTCAGTGCATAATCAGATGTAGGTGTTAGCGGTTCACGATGAAAGAGGAGTCCAAACTTTGAATTTTCATTATTGGATGTTGTTAGACATATTTTCAATGGAGTTATTTCTTTCCCGTCTATTGAGTTTATATACTTAACAATACACAGTCAAAATTTCTTGAATGTATATTTTAAAAAAAAAAACAACAAAAACAACTCAATAAAAGCTTAGAATGATCTTTGATGATGATTCGCAAATACTACTTACCTGCTGTTCAACCTCTACTGGACTTCCTGCTAAAGACATAAGCCTTTCTCCTGGCTTCATCTTACGAATGTTGTCAGGTGTTGAGGGAAGACTGGGGGTAAAAAACAAAACAAAAAAAATTTATGAAAATCAAGGAAATTATAACCTACACCCTAATAAATAGAACAGATGAGTAGAAATTAAATTATATCTGTTAAAAGTTTGAACTGGGAAAAATTGAATGGCGCCTATTAGTTTGCTACAGTTCATTCAAGTTGCACTTACATGCAGGCCTGTGGAATCTAATAAATCCATTGTGAAGAATGCCTTAACTCAGTACAACTAATGCCTTTTCTTTATTTTTTAAAAGTACATTTTATGCATAGTTAAAATGTAATTATTTAGTATTACCGAGTTAAAGCATAAAAGGGCAAAGAAATTTAAAATGATGATCAAAAAGGATGCAGAGTGATTTTCATTTACAATTATAACAATGTTACTTAAAAGGTTGCTTGGAATAGAGCTAAGAAACAGACACAGAATATTTCCAAAGTTAGAAACACATACTCACTTGGGGTCAAACTTGGGTGTTATCAGAGGAGTCTTGCCCCAGGCACCTCTGCCAATTGAATGGGAAGGTGTGATGAATCTAAATAAAAAACACATGGCAAATTAGGAGATCTTGAAAATATTTAGCTCCTACAAATTGTTCTAGTTCTAAACATGTTGCTAGATAACTGTCTAATTAGATTAAGGTTGAATTGAAAATCATAAGTTATATAAATTGTATATTTTGATTGTATACTATAAGATAACCTAATGGCCAACTACTAGCCATTAATCTGCATCACTAAATATGCTGCCAAATAATTTTTATATAATTAATTTACTGTAGGACACAGACATTCAAAAATTAAAGATTACTGCTAAATGGAAATATACAAATACAAAAATGAATTTTAATATCCTTAATTTCGGGTGCTGGTGTTTGCACCATATGCACTGCGAAAAATGGCAGCAATTTTCTACTCTGGCAGTGGCAGTGTTGTTTCTACAGGGGGTGCACATTATTTAATCTATCCCTCAAGAATGTCATGCCATGTCTTGTTCAAATTAGAGCATCTCATAGCCAAAAAAGATAAGTAAGATATAAGGTATATATATATTATATACTGATGACTGACACACTACCTACAGCACTATATTATAGATCTCTATACTGATGACTGACACACTACCTACATCACTATATTATAGATCTCTATGATGACTGACACACTACCTACAGCACTATATTATAGATCTCTATACTGATGACTGACACACTACCTACAGCACTATTATAGATCTCCATACTGATGACTGACAAATCTACCTACGGCACTATATTATAGATCTCTATACTGAGGACTGACACTCTACCTACTCTGTTACATTATTTATTTTTAACTATCTCCTCTCCTTCAAATTTACTTTCTTACTCACTTTGATCGTGGAGGATTTTTTGATTTGCCCCTCATCGGCTGTAAAAAAAAAAAGTTACATTCATTTTAAAGGAAATCAGAGCAACTTTTCACAACATAAAGTAATTATGTGAAACTTATGGTGCAAGACTTTTACTTTAAAAATGTAAAATACTAACAAATATTTACTTAACTAAGTTAAATTGCATCCCAACTTTTTACGATCAAGCTTTTCTCATTTATTAGAGCAGTCTAATTGTACAGCTATTTTTAGGCTGAGCCTTGTAAAATAAATCTAGTAATTTATTCATAAAAAAATCAAAATCAGATTAAATAACAAACTTGAGTTGAGTTAGACATTAGACCAGGCTGTATCACAATATGATTTCAATACATATTAATTACCTTAACTTTGGTCATTGGAGTTTCCTGAACTACATCTGTTGCTTCTAAATTCTCTTCATTGATAATGTCCAGGACCTCTTCTTCAGTATGAGCTGCTTTACTTAAAACAATTAAGAGGGGCACTTACAACTTAAATACCTTTTAACAAGAATTTTTGTATGGAAATTGGTCATAATAAGCAAATAATTGGATCATTATAAAATTTTTTTTAGTAGAGGCAAAATAATCTTATATCTCTTACCATTTTAATCTCTCCATTTCCTCTCGACGATTTAGTTTTCTTGAATGGACTCTTACCCAACTAACTGCTGCATTAATTTCACCTCCGGCCACTGATATTAAAAAAAATAATATATTTTTTTTAAAAATATAAAAATTTAACATTTTTTTTTAAAAAAGCAAAAGTCTGATATAAATCCTAAGTATCAGTTTGAGAAACTATCTAAATACTTATGTTTTTTAAGGCAAGAAAAATTATTTAAATCAATTTTAAGTTAGACCGCATGGAAGCAACCGGCTCACAGAATGAAATTTTTTTTCTATATCTTTAAATAGGATAAAGTTCCCTATTTATGGATGCTTATCAGTATCAATCTAAATTTTCTGAAATTCTCTTAAAATCAGATTGTTCCGCGTGACTTTTAAACTAAGAAAAAGCACATAATCTATATTATGGCTTAGCATTATTACAGCAGAGAGTGATTTTCTGAACTTATTGAGACCTTGGGTTGTTCACCTACATAGTTTTCTGTTGTTCAGATAAATATATTTTGGATATCTGAAGACTCCCAATGAAATAATTCAATAAAGAAATTATTGCATAGAATATAATATACTCTTATCTTATACACCTATGGTACTTTACTGTACAGTTTAATAACCATGCTGATTGATGTCAAAAACCAAAGAGAAATTATATTTCTTTTCTGATAAGAGGTCGTCTCCAAAAATAAATTAATGGCCCTTAGAATAAAATCTGAGGTCCCTTTGTCTTTGCAGGCGTGCATTATGCACCATGATTTAATTAATAATTTTGCAGATCACATTGTCCTAGTCTGGTCACTGCATTACAATTTTGTAGATCACATTGTCCTAGTCTGGTCACTGCATTACACTACGTACCAAGTTTTTACATGGATGGAGTAAAATGTGTCAGAATTATATTCTAATACTCAGTAACAATAATTTAAAAAAAAAGAGATAGGAGCAGTTTGGATAACTGATACTCTATTGTAATGTTTAGCATGAATTTTCTTTTTTATATGTATAGGAACGTTTTGGATTGGCATATGGAAGGAAAAGGGCTATGTTTTTAATTCAGTTGCACCCTCTTCTTTGGGTTTTTTTTTTTTTTGTGCTGGCTTTACATATTGTGGGTACAATTACAACTTAATGAGAACATAAATGCCAAAAACAAGAGGTAGCTTTAAAATAACTTACTTGCAAATTCCTTCAGTGTCATATTTTTTATTTCCTGCAAATTAAGGAATTTTTAAAATATCCTTTTAAAATTGATAAGTAAGTAGTTCCAACAGTTAAAAGTTATCAACATAGACATTTCAATTGTTCCCTCTCAAGACATTCAAGTTAATTACAATGATTAGTAAAAAATCATGTTCCATGACAGTTATTACCTAAACTAATTCATGCTGAGATAAATTTAAACTCTAAGGCCATAAAAATCACTAATTAGTTAATTACATTCTTTTCAGAGGCTTGGAGAAGAATGGTCATTACTTAACAAATGATAAGTCCCATAACATTTTTTATCTAGCTTTAAATGTATCAACGCAACACATAATATGTAATGAACTTATTACATGAATTAAGCCAGCCACCCTTTTAACATACTCTTGCACAATTAATCATGTAAATCATAAGCCTAACAAAAAAAAATTAAAATGCCATATTTGTGTAAATATACATATACACATACGGATATACCATATATGGTTATACCATATATAGTTATATAACCTTTATAATTTACAACTACTTTCCTTAGGTTACAAAATGCATTATTAGTAAGTTATATGTCTGCAATGCATAATTTATGATAATTCATGAATACTGAAATTTAGATAGATATCCTACGTCTAATTTTATTTAAATTGTCAACGACAGTATTTTCTGCTAGAAATACATAATTGTTTGCTTAAAATGACAGAAAACTATAAAGATAATTATGTAATTCACACATTTTTTCAACAAAAAAAAATTTGCTGGGTTTGGCTTATCAGTGTAAAGTTAACTTTTTTTTATAAAACATAATGCAAGTGCTAATTAAAGTATGTTTCTTGTGAACCAATAAAGAAACTGACCTGGGGGACCATAGCCATATCTGACTCAAAACATGCCATTATGTCTGCTTTCATAGAGCGCTTTTTCTTTTCAATGTCCTTTAGAACATTTTGCACTGAAAAAACAGAATGGCAAAATTATAAATCACCATAATATATGTAACATTTACGCCTGCTAAGTTGTTAATTTGCTGAGTAATTTTCAAACTAATCTGAAAATAGGTAGTGCCTTGGTCCCTGTGAAAAAATGAGGAGGGTAGGCATGAGGCCATCTTTAAAAAACAAATTGCTTTAGATACATTGACAACAAGTGATAAACAAAAAAATCGTGCCCTGATAATAGAGGGTTCTTCTCTTAAAATGATGCCAAAGCTTGATAGGGTATCATATGGTTTTTTTTAGTACTTCACCTAGTCCAGTAATTTTCTGTCTGAAATAGTTGCAGGGTCATGCCGTGCAAGTGTTATGATGCAGAGAGGTGGCTGCATCAGGCGGCCATGTGAGAGATGGGGAGGGGCAGCGGCATATAGGCCCTACATAGAAATAGAAATTAAACTAATGGGGCGGCAGCGCGTTCGACTAGCCCAGTGCTCCCCAAACTCATTAGTCAAAAGAGCCAAAAATCATCAGGAAGATAAAAAAAATTTTGAGACCCACATTTCTTTTAAAGAACCTGTCAAGAACCATGTTTTTTGGAGTTAAAACCGATTTGTGGGCGACTTGCCAAGCCCCACTCAGGTCACTAAAGAGCCGCGGTTTGCCGACAACCGGACTGGCAAACCGAGGGTCCCAGAATCTAATCCTGGTGAAGGCTAGGATTTTTTCCTGCTTCTTGACGGTGTTCCTGAGCCTACCTAGCTCTGGTGAGTAACTGGCATTAGTTGGGGAAGAGTAAAAGTGGCTGGTCATTTTGCTGGCCACACACTCGGTAAGCCATAGCCACAGAAACTTGTAAACGCTGCTTCCATTGCCCCATGGGTAGGCCAACATGATCTGGAAGGGAACTTTACTTTCCCAAGACTCGCATCATATGAATATACCGTGGGATTCAAAATAATTTGATTATGCCTTTATATATTTAGATCCATGGCTACAACAGTAGCAGTATGGCTTTTTATATTTAGACCCATTGTTACAACAGTAGCAGCATAGCTTTTTGTATTTAGACCCATAGTTACAACAATAGCAGTATGGCTTTTTGTTTCAATTTATCAACATTTTTTGAAGAGAGCTAAAATTGTTAATGTCAAAGATATATTTTCAGTATGTTCATTTCATTGTCATTACAAGTGATATTTCAACTATTTTTGGAGCGGCATATTGTGTCCATACTTTTTATGATCCTCATTAGAAACTACAATTTAACAAATAAAACGTGATATTTATCTAAAATTTAATACACAATGTTGAGAAGAAAATATTTGAAGAAGTTATGTTTATTTTATTATTAGAGAAAAAACAAATGGATGTTACAATCTATGAATGAAATTATTAAGACCAGCAGCTGTGTTTTAACCAATACATTTACTTTTCTGATCATTCTGAAACTGGTATTGATTAAATAATTGTAGGTTTTAATTTTAGGTCAAGCAAAATTAATTATGTCGGTCAATGCAAAGAAAGGATTCCATGACATCATTTGCGTGTTTATTCAAATTGCTGTGTAAGAGTCAATTCCCTTTGTTTATTTTTAGATAATTATTTTTGTATGTATTAGTATTCATACGCCGAAGACATGTTTTGTATTAAAATTAATTATAATTTTAAAATTTCATTGGTTGGGTCATTATAACATATTTCTTTCCGCCATATTTGATGGATTTGGATTTCATGTCTGGCCTTGTATTTTATTTATTTTCTGGATATTTTTTTCGGTGGAACCTGAGATGAAGTGTGTAAAAGTTTATTTCATGAAACTATAAGTTGGGTTTTCATTATTTCTTTATTTTATAATTATTTTTGGCCATTTTTTAAATTGTTTTTGTTCATTTCCCTAGTTTTTAGGGTCAAAACCTAGACCCAGGTTAGTAATAGTATAGGCAAAGGTTAGGGAGAGGGTCAAAACTCTGGTTCCGATAGGGTCAAAACTCAGGTTCCAATAGGGTCTAAACCCTGGTTCCAATACCGATAGGGATTGATTTACAGCTGATTTTAGTTCATTAAATTTTCGCCTTTTTTAAAAAAAAAAAAAAAAATAATAGTTTTTTAAAAAAATTTTTTTTACCAACCTTCCCAAACCTTTTTTTAATTTCCTTCCCCCCCCCCCCCCTTTTCATTTCTATTCCCCCTTTCATTTCTTTTCTTGTAAATTAGCTGATTTCCCAATTATAGCCTATTCTCCTATCTTTCGGTATGTTGTTGAATTAACACATTCTTCTCCCTCCCCCTTTTTTTTTATCAGATGTTTTTTGCACTTCTTTTTTTTTGGCATCCCTTTTTTGCATTTACCATTATGTTTTTTGTTAGACACTGAAATTGAATTTTTTTGTTCAGCTAGCCAAGAACAATTGATTATATCAAAGAAAAGCATTTTTAAAATCAAAATTTTATTTACAAACTAAAGTTAGTTTAATATAAATATTGAATAGTATGATCACAAGAATCACTTTTCTATATAAAAAAATGTAAAAAAAGAGTATTAGTATTAGCTTCAAAATGGTGAAAATGGGTTAAAATTTATTAATTAAATTATATATTATATACTGGTTAATTTTATTTTTATCAAAAATGTTATACTAAGTTATGCCATATTTTGAAAATATATGTGTAAATGCAAACAAATTTAAGATTCATTTTGATACATTTAAAAAAGAAATGACATAAGACGAAAATTACACGACCAGCAGCGAATCTGCGCATAATGCTGAGACTGAGATTTATCTACAGACAGAAATCTTCGAATAACACCATGCGTTATGTGCAAATAATCACTTCGGATATTTACAGCTGGATTTTTTCTTGGCCAACGCTCAAGTGGTAGATTACCAAAATTACTAAATGGGATAATAATATATAAATTATTCTATATTACCCATCTTTGATCATGACCATTAAATATTCACAGTTGGCAGATGGTGTGAGACTTGGCGAAACTAACTGTTATTAAGTTAAGCCTATTAGTATCAGTATTAGTAGGGAGTGCAGAGTTAATAAAGCCCGAAAAGGTTGCAAAACCCTAGGCTTGGGCTAATAGAAATAATAATACTAGTGACTAGTGATTTGAGTGAGTAATGGGTTTCGGTAGAAATTATAATTTACCTTTACTGTCGAAATCTCTCAAGATAATTGTAAGTTGGTCATTTCTTTGATTCTCCGACATGCCCTCGGCAATTTTAACTATTCCTTTCGGTGGCTGTGCCACGGCCTTAACACGAGTAGTTCTCTTACGAGGCATTATTGATCTATATATAATACCTACAAATATATTACGATATACAAAATTTCTCTTAAAACTGTAGCCTAACAACGTCAGGTAAAAAGTTTCTCATGTGTAAATGTTATTGTCTATTATTATTTCACCAATGAAATTACCCGCCTATGCGTTTAGCCAATCAAATCAAAGAAGGGCCACAATATCAAATCGAACAACGCTTTCAGGCGGTAAAGATAGTTGCATTAAACCTTCCACAACATTTTGACCGTCTACTCTTAAATAAATGTTTAAAATTATTTTTTTTTTATTTAAAAAGTATCAAAAAACATCTTCACATTTTTACACCACACAGAAAGTAGGCACAGGCCTCTGGCGTAGACAATGTGTGTGTGTGTGTGTATATGTGGGTGGATGGGTGGGGGTGGTGAGGTCTGAAAATTGTCAATAGAATGGACGTAAACATATTTTTTGTTTTTTTTAAAATTGAAGGGACGAAAATAAGAAACTTTTAGTTTATGATTGATCCAAACAATATTTTTCGTAAAATAAATAGTCTACTTAAAATTACATGATCTACATGATAGCTTTACTAAGTGCATCACCCAAAATACTAGTAGTAATTTATTAAGAAAAAAAGAAGTTAATTATTAATCTATGATCATCCGGCCGTATACGGTATGTTAATGAGAACACATTTAGGGACAAAAGGGTGATATAGAACATTATTGTCAATTATTCCTTTCTTTTCTGAATTAAAAATAAAACAACACACACAACAACATTCCAATGCAATTTAGCAACATGAAATAAAGTTTGTGTTTAGCAACTAAGTAAGGTCAATAAAATATTAGCCTACTAATATTCTTTTGAAAAATAGGCCTATATAAATATACTTTGACCTTTGTGCTAGCGAACATAATTGTATTCTCGTGTCACATTTTACAATTTTAGTCTTTGAAACTTGATGTGGGAAATTATTAAATGTTTTAGTAAAAGTAAAAGGCATCACAAATCTTATAATTCAAATCAAAATGTAGAGAGGAAATGAAGCATTTATGAAAGACCTAAGTAACTGGCGTAATATAACATGCAATATAGGCCTACATAATATATTATATATTAAATTCTAAGTTGATAGTTTAAATAAATTTAAATAAATAATTTAATATTTTAGCTGCATTTTAAAAATGTCGATTAAAGAAATATTATTTTTCTTTTTTACTATTAATTTATGTCATTATTATTTTTAAAATATTAGCCTATGTTTATTTTAAGTATATTTATTCGCATTGTTACCCTACGTATTTTAATTTATTACAAAAATGACCTTATCTAATAAACTGAATATTATGAATAACTAGATCATCGGTGCACCACACAATTATTGATGCGAAATTTCGTGGCCGTTTATCAAATTCAACGGTCTAGATTAACTACGGAAAAGGACTGAATTTTTATTATTTTAAAAATAAGTTTAATACCCCCACCACCCCTAGAAAAAGCCATTATTAAAAAGGGATATTTTTCATTTCAATGCAACTCGATTTATTTATACTGAACTTAACTTATAAACATACATTTGGCCCACAGTGATAGATGAGAAAGAAAGACTATAAATAGTTTTTTTAAAATAGTTCACACTTCACACGATCAAATTTTCGATCATGCTTTTGATGCCAATTTTGTATGAAGCCTTGTCACAACTTTCAAATTACTATTTGATCAAATTCTAATTTCTCCCCTCCACACCCCACCCAAAAAAAAAAAAAAGCAACCACAACAAACACAAACAAAATAGAGAGTTTATACAAAAATTTGATGCGTAATTTGAAGCTAATTTGATCGTGTGAACTGACGCTTAGTTCTGTTTGGATCAGCCACAAAGATGTATTTGACGGCTGCTATACAACTTAGCACATTATTTGCAGAGGGTTTGAGAGTGTGTTCATGTCAGGCGTACATTTTATTGTCTTTACAAAAATTTAAAATTATCTTTGTAATTTCATTTTTTTGACGCAATAAACAGTAGCAAGATTATTCAGATGCTTTTAAAGTGAACAATTTTTTTATATATTTATAGACTTGCCTATTTAGTGGTGTCAATAAGTTGTTTTTTTGTGTGTTTAATGTTTTGGTCGATGTCTCAAACATCGTAATGAAAATTCTAACAAGTAACATGCGTCTCCACAGACATGAGAAATAGAAAAAAATAAATTTACAAATGAAAATGTTCATAACTATTAAAGATTTTTTGTTATAATATCTTTGAAATGAGTCATATAGGCCAGTCAACGAAGCGTCTAAGAATATTGTGTGTGTGTGTGTGGGGGGGGGGGCTAAAGTATAGACTTTATTTGACATTTACATGATTCATCTTGCTGTTATAATTTTTACCTAATCCAGACCAGATTACCAACAATCAGTTCTCGAACGTGCAGGAGCATACTGGGATCCTTCACTGACAACTACTTTTCTCATATCTTTGAGCGCTCCCGAAGGTTTGCGTCTCGCGACCTCCAAATGTTATTATAAAAATTACATTTTTCATTGACTAGATTTGAATAGAGTAATCCACAGAGAAAGAGATGGATGATAAAATAAATAACGCACCAATCCATTAAAGCCGTGTTTGTACAAATAAAAAAAGTTGACTTCATGGCGGAAAGATTGTAAATTGGACAGCTGGTATATAATTAAATGGATCAAATGAAACATACGCAAAGAGAGCATGTGATGGATACATAAATGGAGCAAATGATAGATACGTAAGTTGAGGAAGTGAGATAAAGGCTTAGACCAAATGTTAGATCCGTGGTGGGAAAAAGTGAGCATGCTAAAATGGAATTAAGTAATAAATTTTAATACACTGAAACACGCAATTTTATCACAGAATAAAAAGATGAATTTCGGACTTAATTTACTTCTTTAGAAAAATGTGGACATTTGTGGGGGAAGCTGAAACTTTAAAAGAAGTCAAGGAATTTATGACAGATAACAAAAAACAAAAAACGGCAATATCTCTGATGAATTATTGAGCGCAAGTAGCATTGTGCTGCATTACATTAATGTATACAGAACGTTGCATTAATTGTTTTATATCTGGATCTGATTATTTTGTACTCTATGGACTCTGTATACAGATAATGGGGACAGTCTATCTGCAGTAATGAAGAACATAAGTGAGACGATGCTCATGGTCATAAATGGAAAGTGGTGCATTTTATGGACACAGCATGTGAAGAAAGAATATCAAGCATCTTCGGTTCCACTCAAGATGGAGAGATTCTTCTTGACCTTAGTGGGAATGAAAAGGTTGATCGACCTCCGATCATTGTTTTTGGTGTGGGAATAAATCAGCTTCTCGGTTTTCCCCAGCTGCAACCCAGGACTGGGGAGTTACAAGCATCTCTTGATGCACTATTATTGGAAAAGTAAACGGAAAGTGTTATGACACTACTTAAAGTAACACAGGAGATAAATGTGGTCTCTGCGTACTTAAGAAAAAAAAATAATTGGAAAATTGTTCTCGCTTCTTGACCAGTGATGCCAGGTTTTGAGATTTTGAGAAAAATTGATAATAAAGTTTGAATTTACTCATGAAAGCATAAAAATGTCAAAATGTCTTTTTTTTTGTATTGATTGACTACGCTGATTTTTCAGTTGGGCCTATGTGGCATCTTATTCTAGTGAATGGAATGTAGCCACACGGGAGATAACTTGCACATTTCGAAAAACTGAAATCACTGGTTTTTCCCCTTGAACACTTCATATGATTCAAATTATCTGAAAATTTTGGTAGAATTATTTTCTTGCGTAGTGGAAAAAAACTAAGTAAGAGGATCAGACCATACTGTAACCAAACTTCGAAAATTTGACCTCCCTATAATTCATTTTTTTTTTTTTTTTTAATTTTTTTTTTTTTTTTTTTTTTTTCTTATTTTTAATCCCCCTCCCCCCCCCCCCCCGCCCCCACCCACTTTTTACATTAATGATTTATTTCTCCAACCTTTCAGAAAAACAAAAGAAAATATTACGCATCAAACGCACTTGCGAAATCAATTTTTTTTTAAAGTATCGCATTGTGCGTAGTTATCGGGAATTGTATTTCACGAAATCAGTGTCACTATATTTCTTTTATCTTGCCCTTGAAAATCAGATTTTGGGGGTTGGGCTGAAAATTGTACAGAATTTGTTTCCACCGGCAAAGTGTCTGTGTACGAAGATTCAGCTCGATACGTTTCCGGGAGTGGGTCAATTAGCCGTCCGAAAAAAAGCGAAGTTATCATTAAGGATATAAAAAAAAAAGAGATTTGTTATACCATTAAAAAGGATTAATTTCTTTTTGGGCCACGTTTTTCCGACATGGATAATTCTTTTTTTGGACTGTTCAGTGATAGAAGAAGCTTTAGAAAATATTTTATAATTTCTCTTATTTTGACTAGCAATAAGTATTTATATAATTATAAATTAAGTTTGCTAACCATAGGAAAAATGAATTAAGCACATGGGTCTCATAATTTTATATTATCTGGGTCGATTGATCTTCAAATAATATGCAGAGGGGATTAAAATTTAAGCATGCGCCTTATAATACCTTCCAATCTCAACGAATGCAGCGCATTGTCCTTGACACAACTTGACCTTTACCCTCAAGCAAATTTTTTTCTAAAAAATTCAAATACGCAGCAATGTTTTTAAAACGTGACTGCTGCCACGGTCCACTAGAGGTACATAATTATTGCTTCTATTCACTGCCAGTTGTGATGTGTGGTAACCACAATACAAGCACATTAGAGAAAAAGACACCTACACACACACCACTGAACTGATTAAGGCTCTCTCTCTCCATTCTTCCACAAGGCGTTGCCAAATTGTAAAACTTTGACATTTTCAAATGATAGCGCCCATGGAAGCCCCCCCCCCCAAACCAAAAGTCTTAACTGTAATCCATCATAGCACATACGTAACATAAATATGAGAGGTCCTAACCGAACAGCTCTAAATTTAGATTTTATTTTAGGTGTGTGTGTGTGGGGGTGGGGGTGGTTCCAGCTCAATGAACTGCTTGCTAGACCACGGCCTTGAAGTGTCGTTATGGTTGAGTGGAATTAATGATCAAAATTCAATATTGAAGATTTGT